AAGACACCTTCACTGCTAGGATTGAAGGGGAAAAGGGGACTTAGAAATAAACAAGTCAGATTTATTCATACGATTTGTAATTTATTTAATAAGTAAGGGCATCCCTGGGACATATCGAAGGCGTCATATCACAGAAGTATGTCCAACGATAATAACGGACTATACTGACCATCGTCTTTACTACTAGTTGATATAAAAATATTTATTATACTTATTTATTCTTGGTGATATACCTGTATAATATGTGCAAACTAAATAAAATGTGTCTGATTTTCGTACGAGTTTTATTTCGTTTTTTATTTATTTCAAATGGAGCTGAGTTGAACATTGTGCGTGTCACCATATTATCGCATACTCGTAACTCTTTTTTATTTCTGGAACTAGCAATTAGTCCCATTGTCTCTCTTAGTTTGTTGCACATGGAACTATTATAATAAATAATCAATAATAATCCTTTATTATCCAATAGACATAAGTATGCATAGGATTCGTCAAAAATAAAAAATCTATCAAACATGGAAAATAAGTAACAAACAAATATGAAACAAACATACCATCTACACATTAACAAACTCTGAAACAGCGTACAAACATTTATTTAATAAAAAAGCCTTTAACCTATTTTTAAATGTTGCAGTGAACTGCAGATTTTTATTTCTTCTGGCAGTTTTATTATATTTTAGGCCCCAAAACTCTAGGTGACCTACTACCGACACAGTATTTGGCGAAAGGAACATACATATTTTCACTCTGCCTTGTTATGAAGGCATTTATATCCTTGTTAAGTATATATCCTTATTTGATACATATAATTGAAAGTTCGTATACAAATAGAGAAGGCAACGTTAAAATTTGGTACTTTTGGAACAGCTCCCTACAGCTATGTAATGAGCTTACTCCGGCCATAGATCTTAGAATTCTTTTCTGACTTAAAAAGAATGTTGTGCATTGGTCGATACTCCCCAGAAGCACAAACCATATTTCAGCCTAGACTCTACCTGAGCATAATAGAGTGTTACTAACTGGTCTCCAGTCAATGTGGCTCGTAGAACTTTATACACATATGACTGTGAGTTCAACCTGGATACCAATCGATCACACTGGGCCTTGAAATTGAAAATTCGTCCAACCACAAGCCCAAGAATTTTGTTTCTTTGAGAACACTTAGTTGATTATCTTTAAATCGAAGATCAAGCGGAGTCATTTGTTTGTGCACGTTGTGAAATCTCATCATTGCCGTCTTCTCCACATTCAGGTGAAGATGATGTGCGCTAAACCAATCATGAACACTGTTTAATAAATGTTCACAGTCTTCTTTTAAAACTTGATTGGATTTGCTGGACAATATGATTGCCGCATCATCCGCGTAAAGCGTAAAATTGGCTTGGGAGAAAGAGTGCTCAAATAATTTATGTAAAGAATGAAAAAAACAATTTGTCTGAAGAAAATTAAAAAAAAACAAACAGACAGAGAGTTTTTACTGCTCTTCCTTATTTCGATTTTGCACAGGAGCGAAAGAATTGTCCGTTATCCGTTATCGAAATAAGTAAGCTCCGTTAGTTAAGGAGAATAGAGGAGGGCTTATTTCGTAAGGTTATATTTTCCTTCGTAAACGCAATAATTACCGCCGGCATTTGTAAAGTAGATAAACTTAATAATAATAATTCCAATTATAAAGAAAATATTGGTTACAATACAATAGAAATATGAGTTTTAGATTACAGATAAAGTAAGTGCAAGAACAGGCAGTATTATAAACAAATTCAGTTGTGCTGATTTTTGTTGTATATGCAGTGTGGCAAGGGGCCTTTTATTGTAGATTGTAGTTCTGCTGGTTTTGTGGTCACTTGTCGTTTTGTGGCTGTACAATTCTAAACCTATTCATTTCTGGTCCAGTTTCGATACAATTATTACAGAAACTTTTCTGTAAAAAGGTTAACAAGGTTTTGAAATTTTGGGGTTAGCTCCACGTTTAAAACAAAAATAGCATCCTGTCTTGTCTCAGTAATCTATATTGTCAAATTAATACCTCAATTATGTATCTCGGCATCCTGAGCAAATGTTTCAAAGAGCACAAACCCCAAAAAATTGATTGGGTGTGGTCATAGAATATACATTGGCTGTTTGAGTATACTCGTAATAGGTATCGGTTCTATTCCAATACCTGCGTAAAGTGGAAGAGAGCTGGTTTTTATACATTATGTCTCGTCGTCCTAAACAAATGACTCGAAGGA